AGTAAAAATGTATGTATTGAAACGTCTAGTCTTGCCATATCCGACGTACTATGAAACTATCATACCATATTTTAAATATTTTATTGTAATAGTTTCTGTAAACAGAGCCAACTACATATACATGTAAATTAAATTCTTGAAAACTTAAGCCCATAAGTAGGAAAATGTATGTATTGAAACATCTATGTCTTGCCATATCCGACGTATTTTTAAAAACCTATCACACCACTATTTTAAACAGTTCATTGCAATAATTATTGTAAACAGAGTCAATTATATACTTGCATTTTAAATTATTAAAAACTTTAGCCTATAAGTAGCAAAAAGTATGTATTCAAGTGTCTAGTCTTGCCATATCCGACGTAATATACAAAACTATCATACCATTATTTTAAACATTTCATTGTGATAGTTATTGTAAACTGAGTCAACTATATATACATGTACCGTAAAATAAAATGCAATTAAGAAGCGAAAAAGCATGTATTGAAACGTCTAGTCTTGCCATATCCCACATACTCTACAAACCTATCACACCACTATTTTAAACAGTTCATTGCAATGATTATTGTAAACAGAGTCAATTATATACTTGCAATTTACCATTTCACTGTGATAGTTATTGTAAACTGAGTCACCTATATATTATACATATACCGTAAAATAAAATGCAAGCATGTATTGAAACGTCTAGTCTTGCCATATCCGACGTAATTATTATACAAAACAATATCATACCACTTGCTAAGCATTTCGTTGCAAGAGTTTTCTTTTTTGTAAACTTGGGCCTATAAGTCATTAGGTTTTATTGTGATCCCAGGTGCTCCCAAACAAAATTATTACCCAAAATTATAATAGTTGTAATAACTTGGAAATACCATAAAATATAAAATAAAATAATAATAATCAATGATTTAACAATAGACATATAGGTAACATTTCATTTTAAAAACAATTCAATTAAAACCATGACATTATAATATACTACCGTATGTTTGAAAAATATATACAAGATGAATTTCAATATATTCTCGTTATGTAAAGGTAAATGTAGGAGAATAAACGCCTGTTTATACTTGCAACGATGACGATAACAAGCAAAAAGGCAATTGTTCATATTGAAATAAAAGAAATAAGAACAGCTTTTACACTAGGACGATTTGATAACAATTGATCGAGTTTACATTAACAAAATATTGAAAAATCAATTCAAATGATGTCATAATATTGAAAACGATAAAATCGTCATTACTAATACGATTTTAACGTTTTTATTAATTATGACGTCATCTGGTTTTATTTGTCAAAATACCCTTTATCGTATACATCATAAATATATATACATATAATGATATATATATATATATATATATATATATATATA